GTTCAGCATTGGGGGTTTTCTACAGTACTAACTACTGCACTTGAAGTTCGAACTTGGCGGTTTTCCGTTGCTCCAGCACATCACTTTGACACGACCCGTTCAAAAAAATTCAATGAAATCCAGCTCAGTCTTACCTACTCGCTCAGCCTCTTGACAATTCGGGCATTCACAGTTGCCTCGCGGAAATTTTCCACCTCCAGCTGATGTCGTCGGTTGCTTTCCGATGGTTAGTCGCTGATTCAACGACGATGTCGACGGTGGCATAGAGGATAGCAGTCCCAATTGGGAAGACAAGTATGGAGAGTAAGCATCCACTGATGTATACGGTAAAGACCATGTACCCGTTTGATCCCACCTGAAACATGGAGTCTAATCAGCTCAAGAGGAAAGTAGGGAATAGGACAGCTAGCAAGCCTACCATGGAGCTCCAGGCCAGTAGTGCTGATATTGTGGATATGTGGGATCGGAAGTGCTGGGAGATTTATCAACTGTGGGCTTTGCCTGAAACAAATTCTATTGACTAAATAGAAGGATTTTGTAAGAGCAAGTAAGGAATCTATCATTCCAGCAATTGAAATGAATCCAGAGATGTTTTAAAAAAGTAAGGATTATCAAAGAGCATAAACGCGTGGGAGGAAATCAGCAAGAATTTCAATTTACCTCGAGCTTATCAAGAATCACATTAGCGTTAAGACGACTACATTGTTCCATCAATTTCCCAAGCGGACCTTGATCATTCTGAAATGACTACAAATAAATGTCAGGAGCAGAAGGTGCTGCAAAGTGAAGTGAATATTTCCACTAAGTGAGAAGGGTTAACCGGTGTCTGTGTTCACCAACAAGGCGGCGGTTTGGGCCCGCTGAACCGCACAGAATCACCTTATATACTATCGCGATAATAAAGGGTGACGAAAGGAAAGAATGTATGATTAGGCCGTCGCCCGCAATCCTGTTATTTGCTACATAATCATATCCTCGACTTCCAATAAAACGCCTGAACGGACGACGAGGAGCTGTGAGCAGCTAGCAGTAGTACCTACCGAAAGAGGTAGCATCGTTGTTGGAGCAGGAGGAATAGCTGTTGTGGTGGCTGACGTCTGATCCGCACTGTTCATACCGAGCATGTCTGGCCACTTCAGCCACGCCCACTGGCCACGGGCAGGCGCTACCGTAATCCGAGAGCGAATCGGCGGCGTAGATGCACACACACACACCCAAGACTGCGCCAAGGGACAGTAGGTAGAAGTAGAGGGATTAGGATGAATTCAGCCTAGGCAGGTAAAGAAAGGGACTTCTCAGTCAGCAGGTTTCGGTTGAATCGATTTTCACTGCCCAGTGTGCCATCCCTGAAGTACTGCAGCGTAATTGCTACATACGGTAGGCAATTGTGTGGTGTGGCATCGCGTGATTCCAGGTGTGATGTTCCGCAAAGAGCTGCCGCCCACGATTACGAACGCTGTTAACTCACGCTCTCCCACCACTAACGAGGCCAACTTAGCGCCTCCGAGAAAAAAAA